TATAGAAGCATTAGAAATTGTCGAAGAATATGGTGCCGAATTCCATAGACAAGTGTATACTAATAGAAACCCTTTTGAAGGTAAGTTCTTACAATTCAAATTTTATTTTTCAATATCATGATATACAGTTTGAAAATATAGTCGTGGGTATTGGAAATATAAGTAAATTTAATGTTTTAAAATTATATAGAATTTTCCGAAAGGACGTATCGACTATCAAAAAATTTAATGAAACGTGTCATTAATACGGTATATCCTTACATGGAACCGTCAGCCACATCAAGAGGCCTAACAATTGAACGAAAAGTTTGTTAATTCTTATTTTTATAGCATATATGTACATAAACTGAATTTTGAACATAATAATATTATAATATATTAAATTATTGTTCCTATAGTATTATAGTAAAATAGAATTCCACCATAATTCGTTTAAATGTATGGACGACTCTACGATGTAGCCATGTAGGTATACGTATTTTAAAATGCTGTTCGTATAGGTTCGAAATTAAAATACGGATAAACGTCATTATATAATGACGTCATACGTACGAATATAAATATAGTACGAAAAACATCCGTATGGCCAATGATTCGTATATCTTAGTTTCGTATGGTTGTATAAAATACCAAATCATGTTCGTAATTCGTATACGAAAAAAATGTGTACGGACAATCGTATGTACGAGCAATATTCGTATGGCGTACAAAATAGACCCCCTGAACCGTTGGATAATATATCTTGAACGATGGCTGTATGATACATAATATGAAGGATGGCAATTGTATAGAAAAAAAATGTTCTATATGATGAAAATTGCGTTGCTAGGTAGGCCAGTATTTTTTCTGGGCTCATTATTTTGTAGTTTTTAAATTAAATACGCCTGAATGCAGAAAACTCATCTAAAAATTGTTGTTTATACATTTTGAAACTTAGGTAGGAACTTATTATTTTTGTTTTACATTTCAAAAATATAATTACCAAAACACGGGGTCCTGGGTAGGCTATTTAGGTACACCATTGGCGTGGGTCATTTTTTCGGTCTTTATGGTAATAACAAAATTTTAATAATAGCTATACTAATAATAATAAAATATGACGCTTTACCTGGCTGTTCTATATTACATATTTACTGAATTAAAATACTTTCTTCGTTTGAAGAAAAAATTATAGCTGTAAATAAGATAAATGTGTATACTCGACAGCAGAATGGGTTGTCGCTTATAATAATTATTATAATAATTTATAAAAACTAGTATTCATAACCAATGATAAAACTATTGCAAATACTTGCCTTTTATCGCAAGTAGGTACATTCCACAATTGCAGGTTAAACAAAGGTTTTGAAACAATACTTTTAAAATTCTTGAAATTGTTATAACTTATTTAAGGAAGCCAAAGTTTAATTTTTGGTCTGGTTGATTGAATTCACGGTGATATTTTTATTAAGTTAGCAACTTTGAAAACTTTAAACGAGTACAATGACTTTGTTTTCATCACCTAATTATAAACATTGCTTCAAGGTAAAAAGCAAAACAATTTAATATTTTAGTCACTATTCAGAGTAGAGATATTAAATTTGAATATTTACTATTTAGCAGGGCTTAAAACCGTTCTCAATGAAGTCGATAATCGGAGCCGAAAATTTTTGAAAACCGGTAACCGGTGATTGTTTAATTTTGATATTTTGGTAACCTGTAACCGTTTCTTTAAAGATATTTCAAACACTATGATAACCGTTAATCGTTTAAAAACCGTTTTTGGTAATCGGTTACCGGTTAAAACCGGTTTTTAAAAATAATTTTTTTTCAATTTTTTAATCATATTTTTAAAACAGTTATTTATTACATTCGTGGGTTGATAACATAACTATTATTATTACAAAATCAAAAACTTAATATGCTTTAACTTTCCAATGTATAAAACTATAAAATATAAATTGTGACAGACGACAGTATTAAAATATCGTAAATACTAAATAGACTAAGCCCCTACTCCACCAACTATTTCGTAATAGGAATCAGCGCGCGAGGACGACGATATTTATAAATTATTATAATATAAAGTTATACACTTATACCTATATTATATATATATATATATGTGATACTCCCAACAGATAAGCAATACTCGACGGCAATTATTTAGGGACAACAATTTAAAAATAGCCGGAAAATTAAATTTAACTTTAATGTAATCTTGACATAGTTGAAGTATTAAATTCCACGAAAAATCCGTTCACTTTTTGGTCGGGAATAGGTTTTGGTTATAAAACCGCTTTGATGTTAATAGTTAGATTTTTACCTTATACCCAGTAACCAATAACCGTTTCCAGTATTCCAAACCTACCACCAATATATAGATCTGTATTAGAAGTTAGGTTACTAACTGTTCAACTTTTAAAAAAACCGGACCAAACCGAACTTGAAAATAAGTTTGATAATCTAAAATTACTTCGAAATTCCAATATATCAAACGTTTGGAACCAAAAATGTTCCCGGTGTTAGTAAAACATTTTTATTTTGTCTATTGTGTATTACCCATATTTTCTACTAGTTTATTATTTTAAATGTGGTGTTGAATTTTGATTCTAATTGCATTATTGATTATTAGTATTTTTAATTATAATATTACAAATGTAAAACTAAAACCATGAAACTACCCGGGCATCGATTATTACTTATGCCATTAAATTATTTATGACTTACATAATTATTTTGGCTTCCTGTGTCCATCCTAAATTAAGTGATCGACCACCAGAGTTTTTCATGGGTAAATCAGAAAATTTTAAAAAAATGAAACTAAGAACAAGTGGTTCAAGATTTGAGTCAAACGAAAAAGTTCTATCTGCGTCATTTAAAATTTCACAATTAATCGCAAAATCAAAGAAACCACACACAATTGGTGAACATTTATTAAAACCTTGTTTACTAACTGCCGTAGAAGAAATTTTAGGTGCGGAACCTAAAAAGAAAATTAAAGAAATTCCATTATCGAATAATACTGTGAAAGCTCGTGTTGGTAAAATGTCTTTTGATATTATCGAAGAACAATTATTAGTAAAAATAAAAAATTCTCCTTTTTTCGCATTGCAGTGTGATGAAAGTACTGATGTTTCACAATGATGTCAGTTACTGGTTTTTGTTCGATTTTTGGTCAACAACAATTGAATAAAAGAAGAGCTTTTATTGTTACAAGAATTGAGTACTACGTCAAAAGGAAGTTATGTAATGAAGATAATAAATGATTATTTTGAAAAGCACGACATTATGTGGGAAAAATTAGCAGGTTTTTGTACGGATGGTGCTCCAGCCATGTTAGGAGCACGCTCAGGCCTAGCAACGTTGGTGAAAGAAAAAAACCGTAAAGTATTGACAACACATTGTATTATTCATCGACAAGCATTAACATCAAATACATTACCTGAAAAACTCCAATATACTTTGAAACAGGCCATAAAGTTGGTAAACACCATCAAAACCAGTGCACTGAATACTCGCATTTTTAAAACAATATGCTCGGACATGGACTCTGAATATGAAACTTTACTTTTTCATACCGAAATATTGTCTGGACTACTCTACATTAAAAACAAACAGAGAAATCGGTTGGACCCCACTAAAGACTTGCGTGTAGCTTTGAGCAGTATCAACCCAAGAATATCTTTGTTAGTGAACGAAATGCAAGCACAAAAATCGAAATTAAATTGTTTTTATAATTTTTGTAATTTACTTTAAATAACTATAATAATATAATGTAAATTTTTTTAGACTATTAGTTTGTATTAAATTTTTAATTATTTTTAACTTTAATAAAAAAAAAATTAATTATAAGCATTATTAAAATTCTCTTATAAAGAAATTATAAATTCTTATTAATGAGCAAAAAAAAAAAGGTGGTCCGCGACCTATAAAATATTGTCGAAGTGGTCCCCGTGGTATTAAAAAGGTTGGGAAACACTGCGTTAGGGGAACATTGGGCAAAATTAGGACGCTAATGTCTGATGACCTGTAATTCATTGAAAATCAAATTTTTTCTTTTAAATTTTGATCAAACAATCTATAGGTTATGGTTATTGATTATACATTTTTTATGAAAGTTTGATATTTTTTTTTATATAATTTTAAAAGGATGTAAAAAAAAGTAGGTATAGTTTACCTTTGCCACATACGATAAAATTCCATATATTTTAATTAATTTTGTAAACACAACAAATTATTTATAAAAAACGTTAATATACTTAAATGTATAGCTTAACTTAAAAGAAATAAAATTATAAATTGCAACTTTTTAAATGTTATAAAGCCTAAACATAATTCGGTGCACCGTAACTCCGCACGGATCGTCGCCGTTCTATAGAATATCACCTTAACTCCGCATACAAGTTTTTTTTTCGACACCTTAACTCCGCATACAGGATTTTTTTTTAACACCCTAACTCCGCACATGGTATAAAATATATCATATTTATTATTGTATTAATTTATTTATTTTAAATACAATATATTATGTTATTGAAATTATAGAATAAAAAGGTTCATGCATATAAATTATTATATAAGATCAAATATAAAATATTTAATGTAAATTAAAATTAAATTGCATTAAATGAAGCTAAACTCTTTACAAAATTATACCTATCAATTTGGTTGTCGTTATACAATTCCATTTTTTTATTTATAAAATTTATATTGTTTTTTTGTTGTGTTCTAATTATCCTACTTTCATTATTATTGGCAGATTTCATTTGTATATAAGAACCCGTCTGCATGGCTCATACATTTTTAATGAAAACTGCAATATTTGTATGTGCTGAAGTAAATAAATTACCAAATTTGGCATGAAAAGACTCACAGTTGTTAGTTGTTCTTTGTATTCTTTTTTGGCCCGAATAGGTATTGGGTGGAAATGTTGAATCCTGTTTTATGTATGTTTTGTATAAGTAAGTAATAATTTTTTTATTTCGTGCATCCTTGGGTTGGTCATTTTTAAAGTCATTTTAAAAACATAGTTCAACTTCGTAAGGATCTAGAAACATAAGACCAAATAATTGTCTGAGCCATTTTCCTATGTTGGATTCGTTGTTTTTATATTCTTGAACAAGATCAACTGCTTGTATTCGTCTCCACCTATTAACAAAAAATAAATAAAAATAGATAACTAAATATAATATAATATAATATATATTATCCATACGTACCATGATTGACTAAGATGAAAACGACATCCAATTATAGCTATATTAGGAAATATATCTTTCACGCTTGAATGAATTGCCGTTTCGAAATCGATTACTAGTGTTCTTGGTTGCAAACATTTGTTTAACGAATGACATTTTTCCCGAAGTATTTCCCAAATAGCTGTATAATATGTTATCTTTATTTTTATTTGGAAGCAGACAGAACACAACTGGTACAAATACGCCATTACGATATGCGTGAATACTGAATAATTGGAGACATTTCCAATGACATTTACCACATGAATGGATTGAAGTCACTTGACACATCTAAAACAACATTTAAAGTGTGTGATAATGATTTATTTGATGTTGAAATTGATGAAGTAAATGTTTTTCCTCATGAAGTTGGTATATTTGGGACTTAATTTTTGTTAATTTACCAAAATTGTATATTTACCAAAATCCATATGCAGTACCATCAATTTAACACAGAAAAAATGGGGGTATCAAAGTGACCCCACATGTGGTTGAAGATTGATAGGAACATTCAAAAAAATATATTTATTCGTCCACATCGTCCTTATGTTCTAGATTGCATGATGTCCACACGATATCCTCATTTTCCAACACTTTTAAATTGGCAGTGCATCCTCTTTTAGTACATTTATACCGATGTTGGCCATTTTGGAGGAGTTTATGAAAACTAAACTTGAATTTATCAACTATAAAAAAAAAAAAGGTGATCTTCTGTACAGTAGGTTACAAGTGGGTCACTGTATAATGGATGGTATTAAATTTGAATTCAATGATATAATATCATTGTATAATAAAAACGATTCTGAGCGAAAACGGTTAGTCAGCCTATGATATTACTAAGTATATTTGATGATACTAAGGTGGATAAAGTAATTTATATATAACCGATTTACGTAGAATCTTGTTTTAAATTTTCAATCATTAGCTATAAAAGTTGAACATTTTATAAATTTTAGATTCTGAGTGGAACGATGAATGTATTGATTTTACAATGAAGTGTGTTTTTTTTTTTTTTTGTGCCTGTGTACACTATAAGTAGTATAAGTAGTCCAAATAATGCTTCGATTTTCAACTTCAGTATCTTGTTCGTTTGGAAAGTGAATCTAGTTGGTGTATTCAGGAGGCCAAATTTTAAAATTCTCAATATTTTTCACAGCGCCGGGATTAAACACATAAAAATTAAGGAATAACGGGCATTTTTACGCAAAATCTGGTTTTTGGTGTAACTACCGTATATACATGACATTTTTACTGGTTGTTAATATTTGCATTATCTATACACGATAAAATGTTTTAAATATTATGATTAATTGTTTGGAACTGTTTAGGGATATTTTCATTTTCATTTTTTTTTTTAGTTTTTATTCTAAAAATATCAATAAAATGTTATTTGTTGGTTTCGAAAGCTTGAAAATTGTATAGAAGGCTCTTAGTTTATTGTTTCAAAGGCAGATGAAAAATATTAAAAATAATTGGTCACAATTTATAAATACAAAATCGATTTTTTGGAAAACCAATTTTGCGTAAAAATTCCCGTTTTTCCTTAATTTTTATGTTGTTTTTACCGGCGCTTGTGAAAACTACTGGGAAATTTATACTTTTGACCCCCCAAAGTACCAACTAGATTCACTTTCCTATCAGAAAAGCTACTGATGAAGAAAATCCAAGCACTTTTACAGTCCTAAAACGTGATGACAGACACAAAAAAAAATAAAAAACACACATCATTGTAAAACCAATACATTCATCGCTCCGCTCAGAATCTAAAAATTACAGATAATGCCAAAAAATGTAAAAATTGAATACAAGGCTCCTGATATATTGTTACAATAGCAATTGAAAAATATTAAAAATACATAGGCACAATTTTTTTTAGATTTTTTCTAAGTCTTTAGAGAAAAAGGCTAATAAAATTGGAAACTGAAAATGTTCCTAAACAGTTCAAAACAAATTAAAATATTTTTAAAATTATATCATGTATAGAAAATGGAAATATAAAACAACCAGTGAAAATTTCATGTATCTACGGTCATTTTTTTTAAAGTTACACCAAAAACCAAAATCGATTTTCTCGAAAACAGATTTTGCTTAAAAATTCCAGTTTTTCCTTAATTTCTCTTTTGTTAATCTTGTCGCTTGTGAAAACTAATTTATGAGCTTTTGCAGAAGTTCCAATTTTTACAGTATTTATTGGATGTAGACTCGATTTCTCATGGTCCTAGTGATTTCTTATTTCATTGTAATTCAAAAATGAAGAACTGTAGATACTTGAAAACGACACCATATGTTAATAATGTATAATAAGTGTATATGCGCCTGTTATAGGGGCCCCAAAACATTTTTTGCACCAGGGCCCCACAAAACCTAGTTGCGGCACTGGTGAGTGAGCTATAATTACACGAACTTATAAAGATATGTACGCATATACTCATACACAAGTCAGTGCTGGACTTCGATGACTATTATCGAAGCACTATTTTGATGAACAAAAATGGTTTCACAAGAAAAACTCTCATGCCTCGTAGATATTTCGGATATTGGTCAATTTTTTTCTTATCTGAATGATGAGAAGTTTCTGCAGTTCGGATTAGAGCTCGAATTTTTATTTTACTTTAAATAGTAGTAGAAAATAAAGTTTGAAAAAGGACAAATATTGTGCATTTTTCAAATGCATATTCCAGCTTCTATAATTATAATTTTCAAAATCGGGCTTTGATCCGGCCTACAAAATGTTCTCTACTTTTAGATTAAAAAAAAAATTAGTACGAAATCTGACAATTCTACAGGGCATGAGAGTTTTTCTTGTACCAAAAAACGCACCGGCTCCGACCCCCTTAAGAACCTTCAAATTTGGACGAAATTACAAATTTAAAGGAAGAATAAAGATTTTAGTTATTTTGCAAATAATATGCAACTTTATTAATACATAATTTATATAATATAGGAAAATTATATTTTTTTCAAATAAGAGGATGTTTTTAGTCTATCTAACAATGGTTATAATTATTATAATTATAGATAAATATATATAATATAAATCATATCAGTGAGATGGACAAAGGTATAGTGCAAGTATATAATAAAAAATAACAATGTTTATGTATTATTTAAAGGTAGGTTAACGATGCAGCTTCGTGTCTGAACTTTATCCTTGTAGATTTACACAATGAGTAGTTGGTTTGTATTCAGCTAAAAATAAAAAAATTTGACTTAAATCAGTTTTTTTTTTATATAGGATATAATTATAGAAACAATACTATTAATAATACTTTAGGAATACTTGAATTAAATATAAAATATTATAATATGTGCTTAATGTATTGTAACTTGTAGTTTAATAATTATTACGTCTAGTTCGATTTTGACCCAAAAAATCCCTCACATGACCTGAAATAATATTCATTATCTTTATTTATTGTGACTTTATCAGCGAACTTTTTTTTTATTTAGATGAATATTATGCATGAATTATTTAAGTATAAACGTCTTTATTTTATAGAAAAACAATATTTCCAATCATCATAGAACATTGACAACAATCTGCAGGTACTTACTTCCGCAATCCGCAGGCATACTGTTCCCTAAGCAATTTATACAAGTAATACAACATGAATATACAATACATAATATAATGTTTAATAGTGCATCTATTATTTTCCTTATAAAATGATGTATTTAAAATAATTATTTGATGTGGATTAGCACTGA